CACGATGTCCAAGCAATTGACTGTCCGTGGCGTGCGTTGAGTTAACATGGTGTCTAGGACAGAAGGAAAGGTTTGGTGGGAGCAGCAAGGATGCGTTCTCAGCATCATGCATGTTCCTGGCACTAATGAGAGAACCGGGGTTATTGCCATACATCGGTTCTAGTCCTTCGCGCTCCGTGAAATGCTCACCGGTTTCAAGAGCGCGTGCAAGTGACTCGACGTGGGCAATACAACTCCCACGAATGCGAATGCGCTGAAAACTATGCGCAGCTGCGTCAATGACACCTGCGTGTGATACAAAAACCTTCGGAGCATACAATACGGGCCGTAGCCCGCCACTCCCGGCATCCGTCTGTGGTTCCACTTTCTCTTCTGCGTCTCTTGCTTGAACAATCGCAATTCGCTGCATCTCCATCGCCTGTCGTTGAAGTTCAGTGAGGCTTTCCACAACGTCCTCCACCACTATACGGTGTGGCAGGCCTTTTTTCTCAAGTGTACACTCCACAACAACAAAATCCGTCGGAACAATGATACTCTTCGTTTGCAATTTACGTGAATTGAATCCCTTCCATATGGAGCTGTCTCCCTCCATCAGGCCGTTCACCGCATCCCCTATGCAACGAATGGAATTCACAGCCTGTTGCTTCTTCTGCTGCGGCACACCTTGTTTTGTGTCCTGCGGATGAACGATCCCCTCCAGTGCCTTCCCGGGACGTTCATCGCAAGTTATGCTGCTCTGCGACATATCCACATTTGTCTCCATCTGCGGCCAGACGGACAGATACATGTAATCGAGATCTCCGTGTACGCGGAGATCTTTGACCAAATGACCCCAAATGCGCCACACAAGCTGAATCGCCTCCCGCATGGCTGAGATCGTCGGTGCCTCGTCGGAGGATATTCCCAGAACTGTCCCCGTCACCGTCGACACCTTTGCCTTGATTAGATGAAGCCACGGTACCTGCGTCGCCTCACCCCTACAAATGCCACATGCCTCCTGTTGGTCTCGTCTCATGTTAAGGACAATGGATGGTGTCGTGGGCAACGGGTCGTGCTGACGCTTCATCGCACGACCAATAAATCGACGCAATGCAAGTATGCCGTCCATTCCAAGTGTTTGCTTCAGTTGGTAAAGTTCCGGGGAAAATATATTTCTATACTTGCCTTTGGAAGTCGAGTTTGTGGCGGGTGGTGCGGC